GCACGCCACAGATCGTGAGAATACCCCCACAATACTCTTTTTTTTTTTTTTTTTTTACTGTAAATTTAAATAGAGATAAAAAACTATTTTTTAAAACATCTCTAATTGATGATTTTCCTTATCCGCCACTGATATCTCCCCTGCGCGATGAGGAGAGAAAGCAGGGGAAGAATCCACAGAAGCGGGCACCAGATGGAAAAACTTTTTCGAAAGTAAATTCTTTGTTGTAAATGCTCTGTACTATTTAATGTCTGTTTTTGGCTTTTATTAAAATATTTAGGCTATTTCTTAAAGGGAAAGTAAATAAAAAAGTTAAAAACATTTTTTTATTGTAATTAATGTATCATGCTTTTTTATAATTAAAAGTACAGGCTTTGTTATTATACCGTGTGATATACTGTATATGCCGCTGTATTATATTGTGCGATATACTGTATAGACCACGGTATTATACTGTGTGAACCAGCCCGGCCCTCGACTTGGAGCATTTTTTTTTAATTTTGGCCCACTGTGTATTTGAGTTTGACACCTTTGCCCTAGATAAACTAACATATGAGTTATCTGGCTGCTTTGAGCAGTAGTGGATGTCCTCTGACTTGTAACTATCCTCCACTATCCTAGTGGCGTAACTATAGCCATAGCAGCCCAGGAAGCAGCTATGGTGCCTGTAGATGGGTGGTTGGGCTTGTAAGGCCTGGTTCACACCTAGGCGTATTCCATATGCGCGTCTGTCGCGCGTTTCCGAGGGCTACTTGGCTGTATCCCAATATAAACGCGCAACAAAAACGGCCCAAAGTAGTACATGTACCTTTTAGGCCTTGTTCACACCTGAACGTTTTGTAGCGCGTTCTACGCTCGACGAACGCTCTACAAAACGCTCAAACATCTAAATCCCATTGTATTCAATGGGTCTGGTTCACACCTTGGCGTATTTCAGCCCGTCCCTAACGCGCTACAAAACGGCCCACGCCTGAAGGCTGGGTTCACACCTAGGCGTATTGCATATGAGCATCTGTCGCGATTCGCGGTA